TTTGCTATTGTTGGCATTTAGGCCCCACCTTTCTGTTGTTGCTATGAGTATACATAACATGGCAAGGGACATCCCCATACACGTATTTTTCCACACTTGTGTAATTATATCCTTATAATGAGAATTCCTACGGGTGGAACTGCTGAGTCAGGGACTCCCTCAGGAAGGCTGTCAACAGAACATTAAGCGTAAAACCACACTGAGGATGTTGAATTCTGTCATATGAAAGGTTCTTTCGGACTTTTCTTGGGCTGCACTTGCGTGTCTGTGACATTACACGGGTTCAGAAAGGGTAGGACTGTCCTTTCCATGAGAACCAGCACCTCCCTCTCTCCCTGCCAGATCTCCTCTGGGGACCCACCATGCCTGTGCCATGCAGTGACCCTGGTGTACAGGAAGGCAGAGCCATACTGGCTTAGTGGGTACTGAATTCCCTTAGCCAGCAGCAGAGACTCTAGGACGGCCCGGTGCTGGGCACCCCACAAGCATAGACACAAGGGCTTGTGGAATCATTTCCTTCCTTGCCGTGAAGATGGGAAAACTAAGCCCCCAAAGGTTGATAGCATAAGCATCTCAGTAATCATTAAATGGACCCCACAAGTGTCTCGTGGTGATTCAACCGGCTCGGGGCAAAGTTTGAACATGTCCAAAGAACCCCAAGTTTCAGATACCTCATATAATTCTTATCCTCCCCTTCTCCATTTACTCAATTGGAAATTGAGATCAGTGGGGCGACATCCCGGCTCACTGATGGCCAGATGTGTGCGGGAGCCATTCCCACTGGCTGTCAGAGGCAGATGGTGACATCCCTTCCCAACTCAGTGTTCAGTGACACCATGCTGATGGCTTGAAATCAGTCACCGTGGGAATTATTTATACCACAGAAGTCAGAATACCACAAAGCAGGGCTTTCCCTGCCTCCACCCTTCTGAGACCCAGTTGCAAAGCATTTACCAGCACGTCACTGGTCAAAACCATGTATGAAAGCCATGACCAGGGCCCCTCTGTTTCCTCAGCTCACCTAAGAACAGCCTCGCTCCACAAAAGCATTGCAATGCACGTTTTGTGGCACACCCTCTCAGACCCACTGTAGGCCCCTTCTCCGTCAGCTAGTGAGCCAGCAAATATTTTCCCGAAAGCTTGCTGTGTGCCAGGCCCCCTCCGCCCCAAGTGCAGACAGAAGTTCTTTTGATCTTTATGATATCACTGTGAGGTCATTCCCATCTGACAGTTGGGGAAACTGAGACGTTTTTTAAAAAATTATTTATTTAATTTTACTTCTTAAATTTTTTCTAATTTGACCAGAGACAGAAAGAGAGAGAGAAAGGGAAAGTGAGAAGGCAAGCCTCTAGGTCTAGGGTTCAAACCATCATTGGCTATGCGAGAGTTTGGCGCCTTAACCACCATGCCACCTGCCAGCCCCTAAACTATTTTTGTTTTTGTTTTTGCTTTTATTTTAACCATAGGGTGTCTGGGCTCACCTGAGAGAGAGAGAGAGAAATAGCAAGCCAAAAAGTGAGAAATCATCCCTCATGGAGGATGGCCATGCCATGCAATCCTTTCTCCTCCAGTCTCTTGTTGGAATTTTGGGCATGCACCCACACATGCACACCCAGTGTGATTTTCAAGTCACCAGGTCTGGGACTTGAACTTCAGCTGGTCATGTGGGAATCCAGTACCTTAACCACCACACCATCTGCTGGCTCTGGGATAACTGAGACTTTCAATGACTTCTTCTTCTTCTTCTTTTTTTTTTTTAAAGAATTAATTTTATTTATTCATTCATTCATTTTAATTTGGGCAGAGAGTGAGACAGAGAGCGAGAGCTTGAGAAAGCAAGCTACCAGGTCCAGGACTTGAACCATGGTTGGTTATGTGGGCATGTCCAGTGCCTTACCCACCACGCCACCTGCTGGTCCCAGACTTTCAATGACTTCTTAGCTATAAACTTAGGCCTGTCTTATGTTGGTTTCCCCCAGAAATAGACCCTGAGGCAGGGACTCAGGTGCAGGCACAAGGAGAATGAAGTGAGACAAGGTAGGGAAGGATGCCGGTGAAGAGAGTGAATTCTAGTGTGAGATTCGGGACTTGGTCCTGCTAGAGAACTCTTAGAGACAGTAGAGAACAAGTCCCAAAGCTATCCCAACAGAGAGGTGGGAGAGCTGTCATCAGTTGAAGCTAAGTGAACATGGGGAGGACGCAGGTGAACTGATTACATCACCCCGATCTGTGCAATTAGAACACGGTAGAATGCAGTTCAAACTCCATATCTCTTTTCACTACACTTGTAAAAACGAGCAGTTAATCCAACAGGCACTTAACTGAGGGCCAACTGTGGGTGAAGCCTATGTGGCAAATCACTTTGGGCTAATACAGCCAAAGAATGCACAAAGTATCTTTTGGCCAATTCTTATCAATAGAAAGAGTAGGAAAAAACCCTCCATATCACTCTGTGCATCCTACAGAAATTAGTCAAATGCCTATCCAGGGCCTCTTTTTTGTTTTTCATTTTGTTTTGTTTTGTTTTTGAGAGAGATTTTTGCTATAGGGTGCATGCACTTTCCAGGGACAGAGAGAGAGAGAGACAGAAAGTGAGAAATCATTCACCCAGGGGGGATGGCCACGCAGCAATCCCTTCTCCATTCTCCTCTTGAGATTTTGGGCCTGCACGCACATCCGCATGGCATGAGTTTCAAGCTGCCAGGTCTGGGACTCAAACCATGGTCAGCCATACGGGAGTCCAGTGTCTTAACCACCATGCCACCTGTGGCCCCAGACCCCCTTCTTTTATGTGAGAGACTTCCTCTCTCTTGAGCTACAACTGCCTTGGACCAGAGTTCTGCAGTCCCACACTGTTATCTCAAACATCTACACCACCTTGTGATTAGAGGCTGCAGCGTCTGCCATTCCCCGGATGATCAAAACATCCCTCTTGGCCTGCCAGCCAAGTCCGAGGATGTCTCTGTTTACTGCACTCTACTTCTACCATGTCTCCTGCCCCAGTCACCAACCTCACCCTTACACAGCCATGTCCTCACTGGGAACCCACAAGCAAGCCAAATAACATGAAGCTAGCAATCACAGGCCTGTGGGAGCCTATGCCATCTTAAGGACTTTAAAAAAATTCTCCTGGGAGGCAGGGAGGTGCTTAAATAGGTCAGTGTGTCACCGGAGTAAATAACTGGCCTGTGCTGTGAAGAGTGGCAGGAGGGCAGGAAGGCGCAGGAGGGACACCACCCTAGCTCGCTAAACCAGCTGCAGCAGCTATGGCGGCTATGCTTGAGCACAGGGTCTGGATGTCTTGCTCCATTCCAAGCACACTGCTGAGACCTGCCCAGTTTTTTACCCTGAAGAGGCAAACGAGACTTGGGCAAGGCCAAGGACTGCTCTTGGGTCACCTCCCAGCCTCTCCTTGGGACTCCGTAAGCCCCCATCTCCCAGTCAGTTGAGGACGCTTCCTGCCAAAGTACCCTAAAGAGGACTGAAAGCAAAAATCAGGCCAAGATTCTCCTGGGCTTAGATGACAGGCCCCCTTTCTGGCAAGTCCCGGAGTCCGGCCCTTTAAGGCAGCAGAGGTGCCAAGATGCATTGCCTGCGCTCCTCTCCAGTCAGCTCTCAGCTATTCCTATGCAGCTCAGGCACAGAAGGCAAACACCAAGCCTGGCTCCAGGGCACCAGGAAACAGACTCAAGAAATAAAAGCAAAACCAGTGGGCAGCCGAGAGGTCCCAGGTGGGCCAGAGCATCCAAGAGCAATGAAGAGCTAAGGGATGGTAAACACTGTCAGGATCAGGGTCATCTACCACCCCCACCACCTGCAGGAGAATGAAACAGACCCCAGACAGAGAGATGCAGAGAGGTGAACTGTGCGGCCCCAAGGGCAGAATGAGGCCACGCTGGGGAAGGTGGGGATGATGCTGGCTAGAGAGCCAGCAGGAGCAGGCACAGAGCATGCCCTGGCCCACCTGGCCAGATGCACAAAGTACACCCCTCACCTTCCTTGCAGGAGGCACAACTGGGTCCCCTCTCAGCCAGGCTCCTCAAAAATGCCCCTCATCATTCTAACAGGATCTCAACAGCACAAAAACGAGGGTAGTGGGGCACTTGTCTCCTCCATACTCCACCTCTGCTCTCCCATCTGCTGCAGGAGATGGGAGACCTTCCAGCCTCCCCAGCACAGGGAATCCCATACTAAAAAGTGCACACTCCCAGTACCCAGGCAGTCTACACGCTGTGCTTCTACCTCCTCTCAGGGTAAAAGCTGCCCCTCCTTCCAAAACTACCCACCACTCTGAGCTCAGCCATCATGTAAGGTCCCCTGGCCTGCCCCAGGCCCCAGGCAGAAGGCTGAGCTGCCCAGAAAGAAAAGGTGTCTGGTGGCCATGAAAAGGTGTCTGGTAGCCCTCTCCAGGGTCTCTGACCCCAAACCAGCACCACCCAGGAAATGCCACACTTAGTCCCTGGGACACTGCATTTGGGCACAAGCTTAAAAGACAAAAAACTAACTCGCCTCAGACGACCCAATATACCGGGTTTTTTTTTTTTTTTTAAAAGAATTATTTTATATAACTTTATTTATTTTAATTTAACCAGAGAGGGACACAGAGACACAGAGAAAGTGAGAAAGCAAGTTGCCAGGTCCAGGACTCAAACCACAATCAGCCATGTGGAAGTCCAGCACCCTTAACCACCACACCACGTGCGGGCCCCCAACTCAATATATCTTAGCCACGAGAGATTTCTTTAATTCTCCAGAACACCTGTGGGAAAAGCTCCCAGTAAGTAAATGCAGATAAGTAAGACAAATCCAACCGCAGATTCCCCATCCAGTCGCTCCTGAAAAAAGGCCTCGGGCTGTCTCCCAGCTGTTCAAAAGAATCGTGGTTTCTAAGTCTTTCCTCCCATTGTACCAAGATCAGCTTTGGCAGGAACCGAATCCTGCCCCGAGACCATTGTTATTTGTCAGCTCGTTCATTCATTCATCACGTGGAAGGTACTTACTATCGGCGGCCCGTTGTACACACTGCCTCTGCTCCTGGGGAGAACACGGATTCCGGACACCTGAGAACACAGTGCGTGCCGTGATGAGAAGCCTCGCGCTGGGCTTCTCCAGTCGCTTTGGCAGCGCAGAGGTCCTGCGGACAGCCCAGGACGCACACAGCTCCCCAAAGGAGACCCCTCGGTCTCCCTGTAAGGACCCCGCCACTCTGCTGTTCCGGGGCTCTCCCGACTTCGCGCTGAGTG